CGTAAAAGGTGACTATGCTTGTATATAGCTGGAATATTGCTGAGTGCGGCGTTAAACACCAAACCAAACCAAAACGTTCCTACTTACGTACCTATTTACCAACCTATCTACCCTTCTACCCACCCAAGATCAGGGTTACAATTTGTCTTCAGTAATTGGTCTCTGGAGTGTTTAGTCCAGACTCGATTATTTACAGACCGAAAGTCAGTCATTTGGGTATCCACTTCTGAACATGTCAATTTCGTAGACGGTGAACGAGTACTAACCTATCTACCTACCTTCATACATATCTACCTAAACTACGAACCTACCTATCTACCCAACCTACCCACGCACCTACTTATACGCACTACTATATGACCCGTGAAAATCCGGGTTAGAATAGGTCTTCAGCAACCCATGCGTGCCGTAAAAGTCGTTTATGCTTGTCGTAAGATGCGACTAACCGGATCGGGTGGTCGGACTCGCTGACTTGTAGATGCATGTCATCGTTTCCCAATTGCGCGGATCGATGCTCATGATTTATCATCCAAAACTGGCTCCCACAGGAGATATCGCTTGGATGAGATCAAGCGATATCTACACTGTAGATATCGCTGCAATGAAATTACATCACAATGCTTTGCAGACCATTGTGACATCACTGGTTACCATGGCGTCACAATCAAATGACATCACTAATGGCTCTGCTACTGAAGCTGTTTGCAGTACTTTTTACACTGAAGACACTGCTAATTACTGTCTACAAATTGAAAAAGTTGAAAGAATGATGTTGGATGATAAATAAAATCTCACCCGAGTGTCTTTTGATATCAAATATATCAACACTCGTTGATAAAAGTGGCAAAAATCCTCGGCAAGCCTCGGATTTTTCCACTTTTATCAACTCGTGTTGATATATTTGATATCAAAAGACACTCGGGTGAGATTCTCTATATCAATCATTGGATTGCTTTGTCACGATGGATTATTTTAAGACCGCCGTCATATAGCTGGAATATTGCCGAGTGCGGCGTTTAACAAACAGTCAAACACACACACAAACAAACAAACGTACACAATCGCGTTACTCAATACAATCCTCAAAGAACAATATATAGGGCGCCTCTTTACTATTTATTCCTTATTTGATTCAATAATACATTTATGGATAAAAAAGAATGAATTTATATCACAAATTTTATTTTATTATGTCATTAAATGTTTATTGATATCGCAAATCAATTTTTAGATATAAATAACTGAATTGATTATATCAAATAATGTACTTTAACATCTAAGAAATCGAATATGGTATAGTATCTATAGCCTTCGTCTCCGTGACCTTATGCCCATTTTTTTATAGTTCGTCAAGATAGGTACAGTATCGTAACATATACATATACAGTAAACTACGGTTATAACGAACTCAAAGGGACTACCAATTTTAGTTCGTTATAACCGTAGTTCGTTATAAGTACATATACATCATGTCTACAGCAGGTAGTCGGGACCAAAAAGTAAGTTCGTTATATCCGTCAGTTCGTTATAAGCGTGTTTGTTATAACCGTAGTCTACTGTATAGTCATATTCAGATGACGTCTCTACATATATGTAAGGGCAAGCTTCTTCCCTTTATTTAATCAGTTTTCCCCCTGGCTCTGAATGTGGAACACTGGCTTTAGGATTACATATGTATCTTGTTAACATTGTATTTTATTGCGATTTGAATATTATTATTTACAATCGTACTTAATTCATGCTTTACATGAGACGTTTTATATTTACATGTCACCACAAATTACAATTATTTCTTGTAAGCTAAACACAATTGACAACTATTCTAAAATATATGACTAGTAAGCTATTGATGTACGTTGAAAGAATATATATTTTAATAGTAGCGCTTGGAATTTATTCAACAAGTCCGTGAAAACAACACTGCTTTAGCTCAATGTTTACCTCTCCTGGCGGCCATTATGCCATCTTATACACAACCCCGCGCTCACACGAGCAGGTCTCGTCTTCAACTTACTCCCTCAAGTGTATCCTCCATGATCTAAACATCCTCTCATTCATTAAATGCTGCCCTTTCCCAGCGTCACGGCTATGGAGCTAGGACAAAGAGACCCAACCATCATAAAGTATGTAGGGTCCAATAAAAACAATGCTGCGTCAAACCTCATAAACATGATCACTGAAAGTCGTCCTACAGACGTTTAATGTCAAATCACTAAAAAGCATTTGAATAGCAATAACATTTACCAGGATCATGTATTCTCTTAACATCATCGCAAAACATCATGTAGAAGCCCCAACAGCACTCATATTTTTCAACGAAATCACATCTAAAAATGATACATCAGCAACTACATTTAATAAAATGTGTATAAAAACATTTTCTCCTTGTTACCACATCCAAATTCAGCTAAATATGGGTCCTACTTTGGTCAAAAGTTTGTTCCCCCTGTAATGAGTATGTCACGCGTTGCCCATGCGTGCAAGGGGAATGAACTTCCAGTCAGTAGTGTACTACACCTACCTTCCTAGCCTACCCACCTACCCACTACTACATATCTACCCCTAACAGCTATGCACATATCTACCCCAACTTTCTATTCCTAACTACTTACCAAATACCTACATATCTATCCCTACTTTCTATGCCTACCCACTAACCAAATACCTACATATCTATCCCTACTTTCCATGCCTACCCACTTACCAAATACCTACATATCTACCTCTACTCTATATGCACATATCTACCCTTACTTTCTATGCCTACCCGATTACCAAATACCCACATATCTACCTCTACTTTCTATGCCTACCCACTAACCAAATACCTACATATCTACATCTATTTTTTATGCCTACCGGTTTACCAAATACCTACATATCTACCTCTACTTTCTATGCCTACCCACTAACCAAATACCTACATATCTACATCTATTTTTTATGCCTACCCACTAACCAAATACCTACATATCTACCTCTACTTTCTATGCCTACACATCTACCAACAACCCTACATAACTACCCCTACTTTCTATGCACACATCTACCTCTACTTTCTATGCCTACGCATCTACCAACAACCCTACATATCTACCCCTACTTTCTAGGCATATATCTACCCCTACTTTCTATGCCTACCCACCTACCTACTGCGTACATATCTACCCCTACTTTCTATGCCTACCCACCTACCTACTGCGTACATATCTACCCCTACTTTCTATGCCTACCCACCTACTAAATACTTACATATCTACCCCTACTTTCTATGCCTACCCACCTACCTAAAGCGTACATATCTACCCCTACTTTCTATGCCTACCTACCTACTAAATACTTACATATGTACCCCTACTTTCTATGCCCACCCACCTACTAAATACTTACATATCTAGCCCTACTTTCTATGCCTACCCACCTACTAAATACTTACATATCTACCCCTACTTTCTATGCCTACCCACCTAGCTACTGCGTACATATCTACCCCTACTGTCCATGCCTACCCACGTACCTACTCCCCGGGTTAGAATAGGTCTTCAGCAACCCATGCTTGCCGTAAAAGGTGACTATGCTTGTCGTAAGAGGCGACTAACGGGATCGGGTGGTCAGGCTCGCTGACGTGGTTGATGCATGTCATCGTATTCCAACTGCGTGTATCGATGCTCATGATGTCAATCACTGGATTGTCTGGTCCAGACTCAATTATTTACAGACCGCCGTCACACAGCTGGAATATTACTGAGTGCGGCGTTAAACAACAAACAAACATATCTACCCCTTCTTTCTATGCCTACCCATCTACCCACTGCGTACATATCTGCCCCTACTTTCTATGACTACCCATCTACCCACTGCGTACATATCTGCCCCTGCTTTCTATGCCTACCCATCTACCCACTGCGTACATATCTGCCCCTACTTTCTATGACTACCCATCTACCCACTGCGTACATATCTGCCCCTACTTTCTATGACTACCCATCTACCCACTGCGTACATATGCGCCCCTACTTTCTATGACTACCCATCTACTAAATACCTACATATCTGCCCCTACTTTCTATGACTACCCATCTACTAAAAACCTACATATCTGCCCCTACTTTCTATGACTACCCATCTACTAAATACCTACATATCTGCCCCTACTTTCTATGACTACCGATCTACCCACTGCGTACATATCTGCCCCTACTTTCTATGACTACCCATCTACCCACTGCGTACATATCTGCCCCTACTTTCTATGCCTACCCATCTACCCACTGCGTACATATCTGCCCCTACTTTCTATGCCTACCCACCTACTAAATACCTACATATCTGCCCCTACTTTCTATGACTACCCATCTACCCACTGCGTACATATCTGCCCCTACTTTCTATGACTACCCATCTATCCACTGCGTACATATCTGCCCCTACTTTCTATGCCTACCCACCTACTAAATACCTACATATCTACCCCTACTTTCTATGCCTACCCATCTACCTACTACATGCATACCTGCAATCTATTTACCTTCTTCTAACCGAGCTAACAACGTGGGATATTTCTGAATACGACGTGATGCAACACATTATCAAACACATCTACATATCTTCTTACCTGAACGTGTTACCATATTGTCAATTGTCTAAAATCAATGTGCATGACTACCTTACCACGCTTGCACACATGTGTTGAGATATCAAATAATATACTTCAAATTAAAGGCCCCTGTCCCGTATTTTATCATTTACAATTCCTGCATTGTCACAAGGCCCCTTGGAGAGTGTTTAATCAAAAAGCCACCTGTTACTAAACATCGTATAAAACATATGAAACGCGAGCTCTATATCTAAATTAACTAAATAACTCGCGAGACCGTTGTTAGGATTTGATACGCATACCATTTAAACAACGTTCGTACATATATTCATAATTCCCACGTGTATAATACAACACCAGCCCGTATAATATATGTATAAACTGTAAATGGACTTCACACAAGATGAATGGCAACGCTGTTTCAGTGAACAGGACGGCCTACTCCGGTGTGCCAAACTTTGACGCCAACGGAGATATCAACGTTGATGCAGCACCTGACGTTGACTTTAGAATACAGGGCCGGACATGGTATTCCTTACCTACTTTCCGATTTGTAAATGTTGTTCAGACTATCCTGCTACTGGACGCCGTCGTGTCGATAGTGCTGTGGCTGACAGGTAAGTCATTTTATTACATAATGTCTAGCATAATTGATGCAATGAACCTATAACCCTATAATTATGCAAATGAGGTCACTAGCAGGAACTACTTTGAAGCTCAATCCATCGATGCAATGCCTTTTTTATTCCCCCGGCATATAATGCGGAGGGATATAGCGATCAGCCAGTCTGCCTGTCCGTCCGTCCGTCCGTCTTTCCGGGGCAGAACTCGAAAACAATTCAGTGTATTTGATCGAAACTTAGAAAATCTATCAGTCACATACTGAACTGGCGCCTTTTGCTATTTAGGAATTTTAGAAATTTAGACTTTTTACGTTTCCATGGCAACAAGTTGGACTTAGGTTTTAATATAGGGTAGGGTCACTTATGGAGTATAACAAATAAACTGTTAAATATGTCCTTGCCAAACATTGCATGTCTATATATAAATCACATACTGAACTGGTGCCATTTGAAATTAAGGAGTTTTAGAAATGTTTATTTTAGAATTTCCATTGCAGCTATTTTGACATGGGCTAAGAGAAATGTTGGGTCAGTTACCTGGTTTGGGACCATAACGTGTTAAAATGGGCGGTGGATATAGATGACTTCGTTGACTATATGCTTGTTTAGTTATTGTTTCTTGTAATTTGTCAGCATAAAAAAACCCCCACAGAAACACACTTGTTTTACTTTCCATTTCATATAGATGCGACCATGGTGGATCTTTTATGGGTAAACAATGTATGCTTCTTCAAGAACATTCAACTCTTGACGCATTACATACAGAGTTGCACACTTACTTGTAGTTACTTTACAGTCAGCTGCCGGGAGGATATGCCATCTTTCTGATGACTCTTGTTCCCAATCAACTATTGACTAACATGTCCATGCCTGGATCTTGGTCTCCATCTGAATCACCGTGTTTTAGTAAACAAACATTTGGCACTACAAGATAAATTAGTCGTTTCACGCCTACATATTATTTATACGCGGCTGCTGAGGCTACGCCATTGAGTAAACATACTTATTAAACTTCGAATATGGTAAGAATGACATAATATGATAAGTGATTACTACTCTTTTGTGTTTCCGTATTGTCAATATCATGCGTTTCCAAGTCAATATCATGTGTTTCCAAGTGAGCCAATTTCTAATATATATTTAAGTTACTGAAACACTCTGGTCGGATATTCTCTACATCAGTACCCTTACCTGGTATAAGCAGTTTGCAGTGTGTGAGTTGGGTGTATCAGCGCTTTGAACAATATTTCAGTTATATCAAGGTAGTCCAGTAATTAAAAGGTCCAGGTTCAACAACATTGACGTAAACAATTTTTTGCTGGATTTTGGTGCCTTTAGACATTTAAATTGATAGTAAGTTTGACTTGTAAACTGTAGCGTTGCAGGGTTATGCCCTCTTTATAAGCCTGTGTTAAGTATTTTGTAGTCCGATATGGAACAATTGTTTGTTTTTTCACTTTTCGGGCAGCCGTAATTTATTTCTGTGTAAGATTTCACTTCAAAATTGTTAAATATATATTCCCCTGTCTTGATCCTATGAAGTTGATTATAAATAGAGTCATCATCAATGTTTAGATTTTGATAGATTCTTTTTTTTTTACTTTTTCGATTTTCGTTTGTATTGATGGCGGCCAACTTGGATTTGACCTATTTTGGGTGTTCCCCAAGTCAAATTTTGGTAAACTATTTTTTTTTAAAGTAGACTTATCAAGGCGATGACTTATGAAATGCGTTAAAAAACCTTTTCCGTCAATTTTGTTGAACCTCCATGAAAAATAAACCTTTAATTACCCCCCCCCCCCCCCCCCCCCCCCCCCCCCCCCCACCCCCCTCTGTATGATGCCGACCATAAGAATTATAACCAGAAAGAATCAGTTAATGCTTTCAGGGGGGCAATTCCCCAGATTTGTGGAAAGCATTGTTACATCGCACAGAAGCAATGTTAAGTCAATGAATGTGAAGAAACCTAACCTCCAATACCACTTACACGCATGTGGGTGCATGTCATGAATTGCGTGGATCGATGCTCATGATATTAATCACTGGATTGTCTGGTCCAAACTCGATTATTTACAAACCGCCGTCATATGGCTGGGATATTGCTGAGTGTGGCGTTAAACAACAAACCAACCAACCAACATAAAAGCATCACTAATCGTTTCTCTCTTTCAGGTGGCAATTCCCTATACTTTGTGGACAGCATTGTCCAGTTCCATCTGACGGAATCAGTGTTTGATTTGGCAGTACTAGGGGCATGTAAGGCAACTGTCATAGTGTCATTCTATCATTGTCTAGAGGAAACGATGTTAAAAAACATTCAACACCCACTGCAGCGTTCCTTCAAGAGAAATGCGCGAGTGTTTCACACATCGGTCGTGTTCCTCTCCTTTGCGTTCCTGGCGTTCTCGGCCACCAAAGGGGGACTGGTGCTGTACTCCATCCTGCAAGACCCCTCCTACCCCGGAATGCACTCCACGTACTATGCCCTCGTGGTCAGCGCCGCCTGTTTCAGCCTCCTGGAGTTCTTTATGTGTCTGTGGAGTTTTGTGGCGCTGCGGAAGCTGGAGTCTATCCGTGTCATCCACAGAGTCAACGCAAAGGGGGAGGAACTGGATGAAGAAGGGAAACCGGTCGAGAAAGATGTTGATATTATCAGGTTGATAACCCTTGCTAAACCTGTGAGTATTATGAATGGCAACTACAAATTGCTCTTTAAGAAGGTTGAAGTAGTATGAATATCTTGATGGTTTAACAAACCTTATGATATGAATATCTTACGTTGCTACTTTTCTCAAGTTTGTCCGAATCAGTGACATCCTGTAGGTTATGGTGATATTACTTGAATCCAAGTTGATAATAGTAATAATTATTATTGAATCCGATTACATTGTTAAGAACACACATCCGAGAACTGATGGCGTTTAAGCGATTTGGTGAAACCCATCAGCAAGAACATTTTATCGACCGACCAAGAACTATGATCGGCCTAAGCCCAGGATTCATAACCATCGATCAGCGGATCCTTGAAACTAAGGGACACAACTCTGCATAGCGAGTAATAGCACCTTTGGCCACTGGACCATCAACGCCCCGGATACAATACATACTAGAGAAGGATACAATAGATGTGTGCTGTCTAACCTGTTGTTTTTCCATCTAGGAAAGCGGCCTCATTTGCTTTGGTCTCATAGGGCTTTTAGGGCAGAGTGTTGGATCCATCTTGTCCCCGATGTTCTTTGGTCGCGTTGTAGATGCGGCAAAACAAGACATGGGTAAGATTTTACTATCACACATACGTACATACAATTGTCGTTCCTCACAGAATCCTAGATGTCAGTTTCAGGAAAAATGTATAAAACCATTCTTACTGTTTCAGGGAATATTCAGACTCATAAAATGCTATTTCAGGGAGTACGTATAACAATGTGATCCTATTTAGTTAATGCGTATAATGCCTGAAAATTAAAACCTTTTTCCTTATTCCTCTGGCGTTGTTGGTGTATAGTACATTCCTCACTGGATTGACTATTTCCTAGATGCCTTGGACCTGACCGTGGTGACTGTTCTGGGTATTTACATACTGGGTTCCATCTGCAGTATGGCCAAAGGATGTCTGTTCACACTAGCAGGACACAGAATGGTGGCCAGGCTGAGAATGAAACTGTTCGACGCCATCATCAGACAAGAGGTGGCTTTTTTCGACCAAAACCGGTACTTGAGCTTACAGGTCAATGATGTAGTTCTGTATGATGTAGTTCGTTGATGTTCCCTGTCGGTCTGCATTACTCCTTGTCGGTATGTATCGTAAAGTTCGAAAACGTTCTATATCCCATAGCTATATGTTGTTCTGTATGATGTAGTTCTTGATGTTCACTGTCGGTCTGCATTACTCCTTGTCCGTATGTATCGCAAAGTTCGAAAACGTTCTATATCCCATTGCTATATGTTGTTCTGTATCGCACAGTTCTGTAATGTTCTGTTGTTCTGCATTATATCGTTCTCTGTGGTTCTTTATCACATAGTTCTCTGTGGTTCTTTGCCACATTATTCTTTGTGGTTCTTTATCACATAGTTCTCTGTGCTTCATTATCAAACAGTTCTTAGTGTTTTTTTATCACATAGTCCCTTTTGGTTCTTTATCACATAGTTCTTTGTGGTTCTTTATCACTAAGTTATTTGTGGTTCCTTATCACACAGTTCTTTGTGGTTCTTTATCACATTGTTCTCTGTAGTTCCCTATCACATAGTTCTCTGTGGTTCCTTATCAAACAGTTCTTTGTGGTTCTTTATCGCATAGTTCCTTGTAGTTCTTTATCACATAGTTCTCTGTGGTTCTTTATCACAGTTCTTTATCGTTCTTTCTCACATAATTCTCTGTGGTTCCTTATCGCATAGTTCTTTGTCGTTCTTTATCACATAGTTCTCTGTGGTTCTTTATCACATAGTTCTTTATGGTTTTATCACATACTTCTTTGAGGTTCTTTATCACATAGTTCTTTATCGTTCTTTATCACATAGTTCTTTGTGGTTCCTTATCACATAGCTCTTTGTGGTTCCTTATCACATAGTTCTTTGTCGTTCTTTATCACATAGTTCTCTGTGGTTCTTTATCACATAGTTCTTTATGGTTTTATCACATACTTCTTTGAGGTTCTTTATCACATAGTTCTTTATCGTTCTTTATCACATAGTTCTTTGTGGTTCCTTATCACACAGTTTTTTGTGGTTCCTTATCACTGAGTTTTTTGTTGTTCTTTATCACTGAGTTTTCTGTGGTTCTTTATCACATAGTTCTTTGTTGTTCGTTATTACTGAGTTGTTTGTGGATCTGGTATACACATTTCTCCATCGTTCTGCATTAGGTTGTTCTTTAAAGTTCTGCATCTTATAGTTGTTGGCCATCCTATATCATACGTTCTACGTACTTTGTTATATTGATGTATATCTTCTGGGCCCACTTACACAAATCTGTCTTAGAACTAACATGATCGTAACTCCCATACTTTAACATAGGCTTACGGTAGTCTTAAAGCTAAGATCGCTTTTTGCAAGTGGACCCTGGTACTTGTGCGTTCTTTTTACAGTTGCACTTGTAGTGTGTGCAGTGTGTCGACTGGTACATTCTCATGCATTCACAGGACGAAAGTCTTCGCAAGTATCACATGTATTTGTATTCTCACCCAAATATTTCTCTTTCAGGACGGGAGAATTGTGTAACAGATTATCATCCGATACGCAGGTTATCCAGAATTGCCTGACGGTAAGTCTGTTTTGCGTCGGTAATACATAACAGCTGTGTGTACACGATAGCGAATATGTATGTAGCGGTAAACGTAGTGCTTAGTCAATTACCGCCATAATGAAGTGGTATAATGTACATAAAACGGACAAGGTAAATAATTGTTTATACATTGTTACAAGGCTGAGTCACACTTTCGATATTCAACTAAACTGTTTACAAATCACAATTTGAACAAAATATGGGACAACATTATTTGTGTTGTAAATAATCTCTTTATCATATGGGGTCGGGTAGCCTAGTGGTTAAAGCGTTCGCTCGTCACGCCGAAGACCCGGGTTCGATTCCCGACATGGGTACAATGTGTGAAACCCATTTCTGGTGTGCTCCGTCATGATATTTTTGGAATATTGCTAAAAGCGACGATAAAACACACTCTCTCACTCTTTATCATATTGAACTGTTGTTTATTAAATTGCAGGTTAACGTGGCCATGTTGGCAAAAAACAGTCTTCAGATCATAGGGTCATTGTCGTTGATGTTTTATCTCAAATCTTCCTTGACGGGGGTGCTGTTGGCTGTGATGCCTGTGATATCTGTAGGCGCTGTTCATTACGGTGAGTCGTCAACACAACGCAGCGGGAGCAGTGCAGCGTTTTCCCAAGCCTTCACATATTTTGCAGTAACATATCATTATTCTTTTGGGTGTGCGTTTTTCGTGACTACAGTTGTATGAATGAATGAATGAATGAATGAATGATGTTTATTCTCGTAAATCACGGCAGTGATACAGAGATGTAATTGGATACAGGAATTAGATACAATAGGAGAAAACATGTCAGTGGAACATTTCCATACATAATCTTATATAACTCGCCAGTTTTATTGGAATAGGCTAATAAGTAATGGACATCAAATGAGAGAATTTTATAGCAGTAGGATACTTACAGTAGTATTGAGGCAAAAGCTTGTTTCTAAATTCTGAGAGTTTTGGACATTCTAATAAAAAGTGCATTTCATCACATATCAAATTTTTACACAATGTACATTTTCTTTCCTCTCTTACAATATTATACCATCTTCCTGTTTCAATGGGTAATCTATGATTTGCTGTTCTAAAACGAGCAAGAGAGATGCGTAAGGTGATTGGTAGTTCTTGTTGCGGGCGGTGGGTAGCCTAGTGGCTAAAGTGTTTGCTCGTCACACTGAAGGCCAGGTTTTGATTCCCCAGATGGGTACACTACGTGTAGCCTTTTTCTAGTGTCGCAAGAAATCCCTAGCGCGTGCGTGCGTGCGTGCGTGAGCCTTAACATTGTGCAGTTGATGTAAAGTGCACCCCTCACCTGTGGTCATGGATTCGGACCTAAGTTCCGTTTCAAACATATTTACGACTTGCGTTAGTTGTATTTTTTCCCACACTAAGCTGACAAGCCGCGGTTTAAATGAAATAATGTGAACTGAACACGCTCGCTCGCTCACTCCAATAGACATATACGCCTACATATTCAAAGATGAACTTACATATGCGAGTTCCAAAATACTGTTACCTAAAATGTCACTTGATTTACGCGGCACTTAGCAATATTGATGGCGGCCTGAAAATCATCGAATCTGGACAATACCATTTTGAGTCATTGACGGATTATGTGTCTACAGGTAAATACATGAAGAAATGTAGGCGGTTGTTCCAAGACCACCTGGGGGAAGCTGGAAGCCAGGCGGAGGAATCCCTCTCCTGCATCAGAACTGTTCGGATGTTCTCCGCAGAGGAGAAAGCAAGAGATGAATATAAACATTACATCGATCAAAGTTACAGCATTGGGAAGAAAATCGCTGTCGTTGAAGGTAGGTGCTTGTATTGCATAAACCTGGGCCCATGAGCGCAAATAAACACCCAGAAAGTATACACCCATATTTGCTGGTGGCTAAAAATGAAACAAATGATCATTTGATGGTGATGTATTTGATACGGGATTCATTGTTGTGTTTTGGACATTAAGTTCGACAGTGTTTAGGCGCCTGTTTCAGCCTAGTATGAGAAGTTTTGTAATATTTTGGTCCAATCCAATTTTCAAGTGTATTTTTTCGTTTGTCAGGCAGTGTATTGTAAGTGTTTGTTTCCGTGTAGGAATGATAGCAGTCTCAGGAATAACTATTGTAAGTAAATGTTATTAGCCGAGACTAAGAGGCTCAAGTTAGATGAACTCTCGAGTAGGTACAATGCATGTACTCGAGACTTCATCGACCTTGAACCTCAAGGTCAAGGTTAGCGACTATTTCACACACTGTAGACAGGAATAAACGTTCATGTTTCTTCTGTTTGTACACCTTGCAAATGAATACCTGGGGACGTTTGTAAGCAGGTGACTAACGATATGAACTCCTGTGACAAACAATAGATCTAATGTGCTCCAATGTTTAACTATAAGAGTTTCATGTCCTTGTTTGGAAATGGCTGGAATGGCTATACCAGTTGGCTGCGTACTACTAATCAAACGTAAGAAACTTCGAATTCACGACCTGACAAGCCGCAGATCTGCATCATTCGTGCAGTCGATAAGGACAACAGGGGTGGAACGTGTTCTCGGTGGAAAGTCGGTTCTGTGTTCCCTGTTCAATGGAAATGAAATCTTCCGTTGCACGCGGAATGCCCACATTCCCAAAATGAGTTATAAACACAGATATTCCCATGTTTGTTCAGCAGTAATTACTGGAGAAGGTTCCTGTTGACATATGATACGGTTTGGTGGCTTTGTGGTTAAAGCGTTCGCTCATCACACAGTAGACCGGGGTTCGATACCAAAAACAATCTGGGAGGCTTACTTTTCTTTTCTCCGAAATTGTACTCAAATAGTTTCCCAAATTATACTCACTGCTCATGCATTACAAGAAAGAAAACTATTGCCAAATTGTAGAGTTTCATTGCATTAAGTAATCTAAAAATCGACACGATCAGTATTCATTACTGAACACAAGTTTTGCCATAACCATGTGGCACATGGTCCTGTATCCAGCGCAAAGGCCACAACAAGGCGAAGTTCAGATACGTCGGTCATGGTGTGAACATGGATGGGTGACCGTATTTGGCAGCTTGACTCCTGAGAGTGTGTTTTGGGCCTGCCCTTCAGTGAAACACATGCTACATGTGGTATCTCTTTATGCAATAGATTTTGTTCGACACATACCTCTCTTCACCCATCAGGATGGGATGGTAACGATAACCTTCTAGCGCATCACAAGGCAGCGTGGCTGCTGAGAATGAAATTCGAGTCCACACTGACCCACTGACCGGGTTAATAGTACAGGTTTCAGCATGCTTCAGGGTGTGCATTTGGCATTATTATCATCAATCATCATCATCATCATCATCATCATCATCATCATTATTTACAGATTAAAATAAAACATGCAGCAAGGAGGGTTCGGGTGATCCTGGCAGTCAAGTTGGTTAGGCTCATCATCAGCTCAGGGCCCTTGCCCCCTCTACACGCATCTCAGACAGCGAATGGGACTTCTCCCAGGAAGCGCTGCCTAGTCAAACCCACCCAGAACTTTTCGGTGAATGTGAAGACTCCCCAACACTGCAGCCTTCTGCATTACCCAGATTGTCAGAAGGGCTGTATTCCTGGTAGCAACCCGGGTACTCTCCCGATGTCAGTCAACAGATTGGGAGGTAACAAACCTAAGGCACCAAGTACAATGGGGAGTCGGACAACTTGGTTCTTGGGATGCACGCGTGACATTTCGAACGCGAGGTCTGCATATTTGCCATGTTGTTCCTCAATCTTGTCAATCACATTAGTGTCAAAAGGGACAGAAAATTCAATAATATATATGATTTCATTAGATTTAACAAAAAGGGACAAGACCAGGTTTGTTGGCCTGGAGAATTTTGTATTTATCATTTCCATGACGCCTTCTACATATTCTGAGTCGTACCATGGATTGACCTCTGTGTCAAAACCACAAGCCTGACGAAGACAGTAATAAAATGATCGAGCTACACCATCATGTCGCCTAAGTTACTGTGTTTCTGCTAAAGCTGGGCATCCGCTGACAAGAACCATCAACAAAATTAACATTGACATTCAGATTATATCCCACATCCTTGGCTCGTTTAAGAAAACTGTGGAATGCCTTGTTTTCATGAGTCTTGACATGCTTAACAAGAAGATCTGACAAATAAATGTGTGCAAAGGTGCACAAAACACGAAGAGCCCAAACGTTAATCAAACCACGCCCTCAGATAATGATTGGTAAATCTAAACGATTGGGGGAAGAGCGAGGGTGTTCGGATCTATTGTCTGACATGATTCTTCGTGTGAGGGTGTCAATACCCTGAAAATCTTGTTTCGTCCAATCAACAACACCAAAAGAATACGAAAGGACGGATACAGCATAAGTATTTTTATTAAGAGTACATTATACATTTGTACTCTGCCCGAAGTTTTTCCTTGATGTGGGCATTCTGGAGTTTGTCCCTAATCTGCATCCCTAAGTACGTAAAGGTCTGACCTTCCACATAATATTATTATTATTTTTATTGTTGTTGTTTAAAAAAAATATTGTGTGGGTAGATATTTAATGTCATACTTATTGGAATATTGGCTCTCAAAACAGTGTGGCGCTGTGGATTAGTGATATCTAGAATCGGGACAGGAGGTGGTGGTGGTGTAATACTTATTGTCTGTGATGCAGGGGGTACATGGGCGTTGTGGGTATGGCTGTAGAGGGATGAGTTCTGGGATGGTGGTGTAATACTTGTTGTCTGTGATGCAGGGGGTACATGGGCGTTGTGGGTATGGCTGTAGAGGGAGGAGTCCTGGGGTGGTGGTGTAATACTTGTTGTCTGTGATGCGGGGGGGGGGGGGGGGGGGGGGTACATGGGCGTTGTGGGGATGGCTGTACAGGGAGGAGTTCTGGGACGGTGGTGTAATACTTGTTGTCTGTGATGCAGGGGGTACATGGGCGTTGTGGGTATGGCTGTACAGGGAGGTGTTGTGGGACGGTGGTGTTACACTTGTTATCTGTGATGCAGGGGGGTACATGGGCGTTGTGGGTATGGCCGTACAGGGCGGAGTTCTCCTGGTTCTGTGGTACGGGGGCAAGCTGCTCCACGACAACACCCTGGACCCCTCAACCGGTATCAGCGCAGGAGTACTTGCCTGTGAGTATTACACGTGTATATAATCCTATGGCACTTTGTTAATAATCGAAATGTAAAACTTACTGACTTAAAACATGGCAATTAAAATACTTTCAATACTAACATTTTCTATGCAGGTATATCTAATGTATATTTCATAATGCTAAAAATGTCAATTAAATTTGAAACATAACGCGTCAAAGTCATAACCGCAGTGACCCGTGACGATTTGGGGTAGAATAGGTCTTCAGCAACCCATGCATGTCGTAAAAGGAGACTATGCTTGTCGTAAGAGGCGACTAAAGGGATCGAATGGTCAGGCTCGCAAGTCATCGTATCCCAATTGCGTAGATCGATGCTCATGATGTCAATCACTGGATTGTCTGATCCAGACTCGATTATTTACAGACCGCCGTCATATAGCTGAAATATTGCTGAGTGCGGCTTAAACAACAAACAAACATAAGCGCAGTTACTAAGGCATACGTCTTAATAAGAGCGACGAAACCATTTCCATAATCATAAGCATAGTGCCTATATCCGGAGTGCAGAAGGTCGGTGGTTCGCGCTCTTGCCGCGGCATACCATAAAGCATGCAAAATGGTGTTTGTTGTTTCCCCGCAAGACGCTCAGCAGATAAAACATGGGGATAAAACAATAACTAGCCGGCTCGGAGTCCGAAATCTGTCACTACAACGTGTGAAAACATGATTCTTGATCTTTCAGCCTTCCTCATGTACACCCTCTCAGTGTCCATGTGTTTCGGTGTACTCTCCAGCGTGCTGGGAGACTTCATGCAGGTCTGCTTAACGTCTTTCAGTGGCATTTAGAAGTTGGTGTGATGAAGAAAGACAAGTTCTATGGATGAACAACTTCAAGTGATGGATAGTGCTGAACAACATAGGTATATATACTTATTAACATCAATGTTTATACCAGCTCTCTGTGTCCATCAATCAATTTACTGTATAAACATTGATGTTAATAAGTATATATACCTATGTTGTTCAGCACTATCCATCACTTGCTTGATAAAGGTGTTAGGATCTACACCGAAACGTCGCACTAATTGTAATAAAGAAGTTGTTCATCCATAGAACTTGTCTTTCTTCTGGGTCTGCTTTAGCAACCGTCTCGTGTGTTAATGAATGTCTTGCAGTATATATATTCCACGTATCCTTCATTTTCACAAATATCAACGAACACTTATGCAACAACAATCCATTTTGTAGGCTTTGGGAATTTCTATTTAAAACTGTTCCTCTTTGTACCAATATACTTTTGTTCAAACAGGTAACGCCATAGTTTGCTTTAGTCATAAAATATGAAGTGTGATTGCTAAGTTCTGAGGCTCACTTAGAAAGACTTGACCTAAAAACATTAAAATGATTTATGTTTCAACATAATCCCATGACGGGAGAACACTTCTTTTCTCAGCTTTCCACATCCCTTAGACTTAATTTCATGCTCCGTATATTGTCTGCACTTTTGAAAGATAGTCCACCACGCCGATACACTCGGCATCCCAGAGCGCGGAGACCATTTTCAGCTAATGGGACAGTCTGTGCTTTCTTTGGTAGTGCAGATGTCAAATGCTTCCACTGTTTTGATTGGTGTTTGATCTGTAAGTTGTGAACCCAGGTTTTATTCACAGTATCAAGTTGTTGCAAGAACATTTCTGGTTCAGCTTCAAACAGAGTTCGATTATCAGGAGGCACGCCTGGAGCGTTGTTGATCGGATATCAGAAGCTTCGCAACCAAGCGATCTGATACGTTCCTTTTTGCAAAGGTTTCTGTGGTAATGGAATTACTCCCCCTGGGGAATAGCTATATTTAATTCCCTGGTCAATCATCACCATATCGTGGGTTCTCTGGATCATTTCCTGGTGTTGCTGACATTACAGGAAACCAGGAAGGGGGTTCTACTTGCTGAGAGTAAACTCTGCTGCCTTACTCTTTGTGTTTGCTTCATTTTCCAGAGGTAAAAAGTCCCTGCTTATTTTCATGACTTGTCATAATAAAACAATTTGCTCAGATGACTCAAGTCTTTGTGGATACGCGTCAATGTAATGTAATCGCCAACACAAAAATATTACTCTTTCGTTTTTCGTGCTATTTAAGGCTCAGAACTTATCAGTCAACCCTCGTATGTTTGATTATGTCTAATATACATTCGATATTCAATTCATTCTTTCAATTTTTTATCTTCGTCACGAAAGCATATAATGCACTTATAACAATGATCGTTGATATATGGATCTTAGCTGGTATGCCATTTTCAACTTTCTAAATTTTGACTTTGCCAATTATCCAAACCCACGTGAGCACTTAGGCCCAATATTACTCTCTTTTCATGACAGGCTGTTGGTGCTTCTGGTAGAATTTTCACCTTAATGGACAGGCTTCCGGAAATCGACACTGAAGAGGGGCTCGCACCTATCACACTTGAAGGTGGTGAGTATGCTTACGTAGGAGAATAATACACACCTACAGTGATATATTCAATCCATAATCACACTGGATTGTCTGATTTGTTTACAAGCCGCCATCGCATGGCAGGAGTACTGCTGTGCAGGATCATGCAAAAAATACTTACTTTTTTATGGCAAATTGTGTGAATTGCGGGTGCTACCGGTGGGGCAGGACATGTTTGCCCTTTTCGCGAGCACCTGGTGTCATCACTGATTTTCAGTGGCCCAATGATATAGTTCTCACGTCTATTTTGCCCTTTACGCCAAATGGAATCTGTTTCGGCAGGTAATCTGGACTGGTTATTCTCTTGGATTGACAACTTATATTCACTGATGATGGGAAAAACAATTTTAATGTCCGGTCAACCTGGATTAGAAACTCCATCTTCAGGAGAGTACTCTTTGGAGCGTTTTAATACTGTTATAGGTACATTACTGCGAACAGTGCTGTCCACATTAACCAGCTTCACAGTTCGTGATAAGTAACCTTTACTGCTTCCTGATACTGCACATGTATCCCAGCAGCTCAAGCCATTTCACAACTTTTGAGGTACAATCGAGCATGCGCTTTCTACCACGATTTCAAAGAGCAGCATACGACTCTTGCTCAGAAGCTGTTTGATCAAGGTTACAACATTCAATGCCTCAGTAAAGATTTCAAATCTTTTTATGGTAGACATGTGGAGGATAATAAATTTTCCAAATATATTTATTTCACTCATCAGTGACAAACATTATGTCCGATGCAGTTCTCTGTTTTTACTTGTACCATATGTTCCCGTGTTTTATCAGGTGAAAAATTGACTAGCATTTGCATGTGTTTGTGACGGTTGCCACAAGTGGGGTAGGATACCACTGCACGTTTCACAAACACCTGGTATCATGACTATTTGATAGGCATTCATAGACACATGATATAGTCGGGATTGTACAATCGACTCCGCCTTTCGTAGCAATTTCGTATGAATAGGAAAGGATTTTGTCGCTTTCTTTTGCAGAGATAGAGTTCAAGAATGTAGACTTCAGTTACCCGAACAGACCAGAAGCCAAAGTCCTGAAGGTAAGCAGACAAATCCTGAATGCAGAGATGACGAGATCAACAGTGGCTGAACAACTAAAACGCCAGTTTATTTCATAAATAGTGATTATCAAGAATGACCTTTTTTGTCCATGGTATTCAATAAATATCAAATACGACAATTACAGAGAAACGCAAAAGAGAATAATTTGCAGCAATGTATTTATTAAATGTTATTTTTTCAGAATTTATCCTTCAGTGTCTTTCCTGGGCAGATGGTTGCATTAGTTGGCCCTTCTGGGGGAGGGAAGTCCACAATCGTCACTATGATTGAGCGTTTCTACGACCCGCAGAAAGGGGCGATATTCTTAGGTTAGATATAGATCACGCATGATTGTTTCAAAACATGTTTTATCATCTTTCATGTTGATTCCTGTCTGGAGTTTATTTGAGTTTCTAACTCGTATTTTCAACACATGAAGTTTGCCAATTGTTTTATAGTGATTCATAAACACATGCTCGTGTTACAATCGGAATCATATAATCGATTTGTGGCTATGGAAAGCGTTTTGTCGCTTTTATGAAACATCCCTGTTTCAATAAAGTGTGGAAGTTTTTATGACTGCTTTGCAATTTTAGTAATATGTCCCTTAACAGTCAACGTTTCTCTTACTGGAAATGACATGAAGTAGGTTTACCATTGCATATAGGACGTAAATTGACTAGTATTTTACCTATACACCCAATGTCAATCAAGGGCAAAATGAAACAACAATTGTAATGTAACATAATTGTATGAACTCATGGGAAACAATAACACGGTGCAAATGGTTAACTGCTATACCACATGTCGGGCACTGTTGATGTTAAATCGTTGTAAACACTATGTACAGGGGGACATGATCTGAAGACACTTGACCCTTCCTGGTTTCGTCGCAAGATCGCAATGGTGAGCCAAGAACCAACGTTGTTTGCATGCTCCATCAGAGACAACATCACCTACGGTAGACTAGCGTCAGACAAGGAAGTAAGTAATATTCGTGTATGTAATTACATTATTTAACTACAAAATCTTGTTTTATCGCAACCATGATGGAATGATATAAATACTCATAACAAATCTTCTGGGATTTTCTCGAAAATAAATATTGTCCTCTAAGATTCTTGAAAAGCATAATTATGCTTCAGACTGTATAAAAAAGAAGATTTCCTTCTACAAAAATACATTCAGGCTAATAGTTTTAGGTTTTGTAGCTGTAGCCCGCCCATTAAAAACCAAACCAAGCGAAACCAAAAACACCCAATAACGACAAAAACAAAACAAAACACATAAATAAATAAAAAGAAACATATATATCAAACGGTCGGTCCCTTACCGGGGATCCCCTCGAGGTCCAGCCAAATGCATTTGGCAGACATCACCAGGTGATAATATGTGTGCCACATGTTTGCAGACCACTTGTATCATTGTGTGTCTACGGCATGCATTCTGTAACACATGCAGCTGATTATGTAACAAACACATAATCTAAAAATTAAAAGTTCGTGATACTCATATTTGGTATAATATTTATTTTGAGAGAATATCAGATTATCCTAATTGTTTCAACAATACCCTTCAACTGCTTCTCGAACAGGTGATGGAGGCGGCCAAACAAGCCAATGCACATAACTTCATCATGACGTTTGATGATGGGTACGACACCTTGGTTGGGGAGAGAGGTATGAGTCTGTCTGGGGGGCAGAAACAGAGGATAGCCATCGCCAGAGCCCTCATCATGGACCCGGTCATCCTGCTGCTGGACGAGGTGGGACAACTGACTGACAACAAATATCATTACTATTTGATAGTGATTCATAAACACATGCGACCGCCTCCGTGGTCTAATTGGTAGAGCGTCCGCCCGGAGAGAAGAAGGTCCGGGGTTCGATCCCCGGCCGCGTCATACCAAAAGACGTTAAAAGATGGTACTTGTTGTTACCCTGTCTGGCGCTCGGCATTAAGGGGCTAAAACAAGGACTGGTCGGCTCGGAGTCAGTATACTGTGTCCGAGTGGGGTATTCATGTTAAACTGCGGCATGGTATCTCAGTGAGCTAGCACTATAAATCGGCATCAGTCCGGACTAGTACAAGCAGCCACACAAACACACATACACGTACATGCACGTCGCTATATAAGTGCAATAATCTTGGACGCGACGTTAAACCCAATTTCACCTCACCTCACCTCATAAACACATGCGCGTGATCGGAATCGTACAATCGACACTGTTTTATGCAAATATTTCTATTTCATATGGAAAGGGTTTTGTCGCTTTATTTATATTCAATTACATGTATCACCATAAGCATAGGACCATTTTCTTGTGTTTCAGCAAAGTTGCCTTCTTACTTTTTACGTCTACATAATGTTTAGTTCACTTCACATTAGTGAGTAAGTATGGTTTTATGACTCGTATCGCAATAGTCCATTTACGTCACGACGGGGGACACAAAGAGCTTAGCACGTGTGGAGAATCGAACCCAGGACGTCAGCGCGGCGAGCGAACACCTTCATCGCCGCCTCCTCCGCTTGAAGCAAGCCCTCTATGATATAATCATGTACAGATAGCAGTGATAGTGAACTTACATAACCCACTCCTATGCATTACACAGGTACATTCACATTAATGTATTAATGTCTCACTATCGTACACACGTATGCCCATGTGGCCTCGCCATAACCACCCAAGTCTAATCCTTCCTCGGGCCATTCCTTCCAGGCCACCAGTGCTCTAGATGCAGAGAGTGAACACCTGGTCCAGGAGGCTATAGACCGCGCCATGAAGGGACGAACAGTCATCGTCATCGCTCACAGACTCTCCACTGTTCAAAATGCACATAAGGTAAAAGCAAAAATACCACTCAACAGTTAAATGGGAAATTTCCATTTGTCAATGATACTGATTACGCAGCATATTTATGCATAAGTGGTACGACATATCCTATTATAATTCCACCAAAGGTTTTTTTCTGTAAATGACAGAGAAGCTAGTGTGGTCTGATTTTCACGAATGTTTATCCTGGCCCGATGTCTGAGACTAAAAAGGATGCCAAGGGAATGAGAGGGATAATCCTTACCACAGAAGTCCCAGTTTAAGCACAAATATGCTGAGTATATGCGTATCCGTTTTGTGAATAAGGATTCCCCACAAGTGACGGCGGCGCAATTGATGAAAACAATTCGACCTGTGCATCTCACTGGAGCAACACAGTACAAGCATCCAAGTAATATGATTGTAACTATTCATTTTTTATCGATGTCATTGGGTATTCTGTCCTTCATAGTACGTGATAAGATCAGGAAACGTAAAATGAATATTATTGCTGCCATGTTGGGGTTAGCCATGCTTGTTTCAGGAACACCATGTCACTACACTCTAATCTCCGATTCTTTATTCTGTTCAAAGGTGATGGTGATTGACCAAGGCCATATAGCCGAACACGGAACTCACTTAGAACTCATGTTAAAAAATGGTGTGTATAAACGTCTTGTATTACGTCAGCTTATGGCGTCGGACAATAAAAGTGAGATCCGTCGGGAACAGAACATGTGAGGGCAATTCTCAAACGGAATAGACGAAGAATATAGTCATCATATTGCACCAGTCAACAGGATATTACTTGAGCGTGTGTCAAAACGTGCTTCGTATGTAATAATACATTCTGAATATAAAATGTAGACACGACTACAGCGACTGTAAAACAGTCGCTGACATGTTGATAATAATTCCTGAACGTATAGTCTATACCATCTAAGTGTGTGGATGTTTTCAAGTGTACATATCTCACTTAATATATCATGTACAATAACCAAAATAAATTTGTTTCATTAATTATGTTTTAAAGGTTTGTTATTGAAACACACTGAAACAGACGGTTTGTTTGTTTGTTTGTTTGTTGTTTAACGCCGCACTCAGCAATATTCCAGCTATAAGACGACGGTCTGTAAATAATCGAGCCACACCATTGCTGGAAAGAACAGTCATCCACCCTCTCAATAAATTTACATAAGAATATGTTTGGGTAACCTTCATATTTCGTAATCTATGCAACACCGAAACCGAATTGAAATAACACATTTGTAAGTGGGTCGTTTTCTGTATGACAAAGAATTCAAATAAAGAAACGAATTACACAGACAACTTTATTTTAAAATATAGTGAACTGTGCACTAGCACAGAACATTTCAAATGAATTTCATTTAGCTTGTTCCTCACAGTCAATGAATATATTGATACCTCCACAATACCGAACAAAGACGGTGGAGTGAATTGTTAGAATGTCCAAATACTTTCAAACTACATTCAAGCATTGCTTTTGCATCAAGATCTGTATAACATAGAACTGACAGTGCAAACCAGGCAAACGTGTTTCATGTGGTGAGATGTGGACATTTCTGAACTTGACGCGACAGAGACAGAAATTATGTTCGATGACATTTCTAATTTTAACGTGTACCATATGTTCCCGTGCTTACTCAGGTGAAGGGTTGACTTGCCGTTGTATGTGTTTATGACGGTTCCACCTTGTCTCAAACACCTGGTGTCATTACAATGTGACTGTGATTCATACACAAATGCTCACAACACAGTCGGTATCGTACAATCGGCTTTTCATTTAACATAATTTTCCAATGCCTATGGAGTGAGTGAGAATTGTTTTGAGCCGCTTTTAACAATATTCCAGCAATATCACAGCGAGAGACACCAGTAATGGACCTCACACGTTGTACCCTTTTCGGGAATCGAACCCGGGTTTTCGGCGTGACGAGCGAACGCTTTAACCACTAGACTACCCGACCGCCCCGTCACTGGATGAAGGCGTAGTGACATCGTCATTTGGTGTTGTCTCGCTGAAGGATTGTGTTACTTTTGTTCACTGTGCAGAGCAATATTGCTGAAATAGGATTGAATAACTGTCAATGACAGGAGTTAAATCTTTGTTCTTAACAGTGTGATCTCATCCAGCTTAAAAAGGAAATTCGGCGTGATCCAAAGGGGTAAGGTTCGGGAGCTTAGACTGTTCTTGAACTGTGTTAACCCCGAGCTTGTGTTCCATTTTGAGGTATATATGTACCTTGAGCCAGCTTGTTTGTTTGTTTGTTGTTTAACGCCGCACTCAGCAATACTCCAGCTATATGTCGGCGGTCTGTAAATAATCGAGTCTGGACAAGACAATCCAGTGGTTGACATTATGAGCATCGATCCACGCAATTGGGATACGATGACATGCATCTACCAAGTCAGCGAGCCTGACCACCCGATCCCATTTGTCGCCTCTAACGACAAGCATAGACGTCTTTTACGGCAAGCATGGATTGCTGAAGGCTTATTCTGTGTTGTGCCGTGTACAGTTTGATTATTTTGTATTAACGACACACTAAATACTTGTCATTATAGCAGATATGAAGGACAGTTCCATATTTTCTCGCCATCAGATTTTCATTGAAATATAATGCTAAACAGAATTCCCAGTAGCATAACTAATGTAAACTCTGTACTACATACCCTAAACCGCCACCCACATGGAAACAGCACCCACTGCAACACACCAGAAGATTTAGACCATGTATGACACCACTGTCCCCCCTATCACACAATACATAAACACTATAACACTCCTCTCCAGTCCTAAAGACTCTCCGGTATGAACACATAATGTACTTCACAAATAAAGTGTGATCCCAAAATATAACATTTGTTACATTTGACCACTTTCTAAATGGCATTGTGTGTTAACATTATAACATTTCAGATTAAACATATAAATGAACTCCATTACATTACTCATATTGGCGTGGATAAATTATTCCACAAGCCGAGCTTACACATGTAAACATAGCTGGTGTCGCTAGTTATTGTCAGTCGCGGTACTAATGTGCAACTGCATGCCATCAATGAAGTGCTTATACCGGGGACTGCCTAAATGTCGAGCCAAGAACAGTCGGGACGAGCCAGTGGGAAATATTAAAAATGAATTGCAGAATAATAAAACGAAACACACGTATGTGGGCAAATATATCTTAAGTGTCAACAAATGTATAGTTTTGCTCAATTAATTTAGTTAGAATCAAAATTTATAAACAAGAATGTAATAAAGAGATAACTATGACTACAAATCGAGAGTCCTAGTAGAAGAGCCAATGTCTTCAAACCAAGCTGGATGATACTGTAACAGACGTCCTGGGACGAACATGACGAGGAAAGCAACAACCGTCGGTTTGGTTGGCTGCAGTATGTGGAAAAAGTCCCTACGGTGAGCAACAGAAGTACATGTGGCTATGCAACTCTTCAAGTAGTGCTCACGCGTGTGGCAAGAGACAACCGCGATCCTCAGTGCACCAAAGCTGGCCTCAAACCGCTGTGGCACGGAAGCAGCGGTTTGAATATGTTGGAGAAACACCGCAGGATGGGAGACGGTTGACATCATCTTGCCATATTTCTACTCAGGTGATCACTTACTGTGATATTCTGTGATATTCACTCATTGGACAAGTTTGACGAAAATATTTCACCGATCTATAATTGATGTGTATGCGCCATCTTGCTTTACAGTAATAATAATGAATGAGTGAGTTAGATTTTACCCCGCTTTTAGCAATATTCCAGCAACATCACGGCGGGGACACCAGAAATTGGTTTCACACATTGTGTCCATGTGAGGAATCGAGCCCGGGCCTTCAGCGTGACGAGCGAACGCTTTAACCGCTAGACTACCCCACCGCCCCTACAGTAATAATAGAACGATGTATGTTACCAAGCATACGTTATATCACGTGGAGATAATTTAAGCAGCGTCATGACGTCAGCACATAATGACGTACCTCAAAAAGTATCTTAAGATAAAGTACAGTCGGCAATTTTAATCTTTTAGCGAAGCATCTTACAATACTGCATAAAATGTGAAATAAAATACTAATCTATCAACTGTTACCGAGAGCTTTAAACATTACCAACATTAAGCGAAAAACATAATTCCGGACCCCCAACGCGCAGTAATTCGCAGTGCAGAGTTGGGTCCTTATACGTTCCAGATACCTAGAGTATCATGTGTTCTCATGATTCGTCCCCAGTATGTCTCTATGATTGTCTATACCATACCTGTAGGCTTCACCACAATGGTAGCTGTCAAAGAACTCCATCACTTTAAGCTATTCCTCCCACATCAAGCTGACACACCGTGATATAATTGCACGTTTGTTCAAAGAACATATTTGCAAACCCCCCGACTAATGTACGTTTTATTTGACAAACATGATTCGCCCTTTGTTAGTTAAAATGAATCAGCCTCCTCTTCTTTCGAATCGATCGCTGCCATTATGCCGAGTGCCATTAAGAGAACACATACTCTGATTTAGTCGTAAGTAAAATGATATACTTTGGCATCTTGATCATTGATGCCTATATGTGTGTTGTACTGATCCGTGTTTGTCCGTCTGAAACATATAAGCCCTTACTGTCCAAACCTTACCACCCAAAGAAAATAACATAAATTGATTACTTACAGGGGACCAGTGTTCAGTGCTACATCAGGAAGGACACAGTTAAAGCTTGACTGGTGTCACAGGAGTGGAACACAGCAGTGCACAATGATTCGTGTTGAGTCATTTAGAGGCGAACATAACATGACCCTTAACATAACCTTACCCAAAGAAAATAACATAAATTGATTACTTACAGGGGACCAGTGTTCAGTGCCACGCCAGGAAGGACACAGTTAAAGCTTGACTGGTGTCACAGGAGTAGAACACAGCAGTGCACAATGATTCGTGTTGAGTCATTTAGAGGCGAACATCCTGAAACAGTTATGAAAAACACAATGATAAGGCTTTACAAACCATGATTTCTTTCGTACGTTGCAGTGGAATAAGCATGGGTCAAGGTTTTGATGAAGGCAGAAGTGTGGATACTTACAAAGATGGGCGTCTCCATACACTCTACTGTGTGGTAACATCACTGATTTTATGGGCAAACACATGCTGTCGTATCTACAAGTTGGTCATTCTTGAAACGTTTTCAAGCGATTGGATACAAACATTTCAGTTTTTTATTTTGATTGCAGTGGCGTCTGTTTTAAGCACTACTGCATCGTTGATTACACACATCGGGTTCTTTCATTACTGGGTAAAGCAGCTTTCCCTTTATGAACACGCGTGTGGCACAAATGATCGCTCCGAATGGCTAATCATTTAATGTTTTAATGGAAAGTCCATAGCGATGCAAGTTGACGAAGTTGTCTACTTCGGTGCCGTCCTCGCGCGCAATTATGGCGGTAGGACTTAACGTTATTATGGTGGACACTGGAATTGAACCCACGACTCATATAGCCTCTAACGGCAATACAGCACAATACGGCAATACAGTTCAATAACAGAACATAATAGAGTATGTTGTCAGTAGCAATCTCACTCAAATATAAGCTTAGGCTTGAGAGGTCGCAGGGGCGGTCGGGTAGTCTAGTGGTTAAAGCGTTCGCTCGTCACGCCAATGACCCGGGTTGTACTTGGGTACAATGTGTGAAGCCCATTCAAGGTGTCCCCCGCCGTGATATTGCTGGAATATTGCTAAAAGCGACGTAAAACCATACTCACTCACTTGTGAGGTCGCGACTGGGGAACTTTCTAATCCGTCAATCAGGGTCGAAGCGTAGTAAAAAAAACTGACGTTAATGAGATTGCTATCAGTTATGATGATACATGTTGAGTCTGTTTATAGTTTTAAATACGATGATATATTAATTAAAAAGCAATTATTAGAAGCGTTATTTTAAAAGATTAGTTTTGGGACATAAAACTAACATAACATCGTGTATTTT